TCCCCACAGCGCCCCCTGCTGGGCGAGGCCGGGGCTGGAGCAGCTGGAAGCTCCCCCATGGCCAGCGCCCGCTCCCTGTAGTGCCCCCTGCTGGGCCAAACCGGGGCTGGAGTCACCAGGAGCTCCCCCCATGGCCAGAGCCCCTCCCCACAGCGCCCCCTGCTGGGTGAGGCTGGGCTGGGCTGTTTCCCGTCACAGGGGTGTCTGGCCCTGGCTCCCTCCAGCAGGGCAGGGCAGGGTGGGGCTGGCTCTTGTGCCCCGGCCCCTCGCCCGGTCCCTCACCCCGCTGCCTTTGTGGCTTGCAGAGGCCTTGAGTAACTGCACGGCCGAGCTGGCCGGGAACGAGATCCAGGCGGCCGACGACCCCTGTTACACCTGCCAGTGCAAGGTACGTGGCCCGGGGCCGGTTCTGTCCCTCTGCCAGGCAGCGGCTGCCTTGGCGTCTGGCTCAGCTGAGCGTGGCCCCGCTGTGTGATCAGACCCCCAGGCCGCCCCCTGCTGCAGGAGGGTGCGGATGCCTCCCGCCCTCAGCCCTTCGCGTCCCAAGATTGTTCCACTGGGCTCTCCATGCAGCCACTTCTGGGGTGGGGCGGGGAAGCCGTGTAACAGTGCAGTCATTCGGGGAACGAAGAGTCTCGTCTCTGCTGCACACGGCGACTCAGGGCTGCCTGCCCACCATGTCACCCCCACCACCGCCCTGGCTCTGGGGTCAGTGCGGAGTGCAGGGGAGAGCGCCCCCTCCTGGGCCCCTGCCCTGCTCCCTGCAGCACAGCGCCCTCTAGCGCCGCAGTGGGCAGGCGCTCACTGCCAGGGGAGAGCACCCCCTCCTGGGCCCCTGCCCTATTCGCTGCAGCACCTGGGTTTTCCTTGGAGGTCTCCCATCCAAAGAGTGACCAGGCCCAGCCCCGCGTGGCGTGAGATGGGGCCAGAGCCCAGCAGGGGGAAGGGGGGGTCCGTGGCCCTTGATTTTCAGGGTGCCCCCACAGTGTGAAGGCTCCAGCCCTCCCTCCGGTGACCCTCTGGGGGCTGCCCCTCGGAGCCATGGGGAGCACGCTGTGTGTGGCCCATCCGCCCCATGGCTCCCCTGCCGGCCCCCTCCCCTCTCACCCCATTAGCAGCAGGCCTGGCCAAGAGAGAACCATGGGGGGGCGCTCAGCTCCGGGCGCTGGCCTCCATATGCATAGCCGCCCCCGGGGTGTGTGTGCAGGGGGTGCCCCGTCCCCGTCCCAGGTGTGTGTGCCCATGCCGCGGCCCCGTTCCGTGTGTGTGTGTGCAGGGGGTGCCGTGGCCCCGTCCCGGGTGTGTGTGTGTGTGTGTGTGCAGGGGGTGCCGCGGCCCCGTTCCGT